GGACTCCGATTTTATTACCACCTATTTCTAATGGCGCATCAACTTTAGTTGCTGCGTCAAAAAACTAATTCCATCTTTCGAGCTTGCCTACCAGAATGTTAGAGGTCTTAAATCTAAACTCGCTAAACTGTATTTAGACTCTCTTGCTTTTAATTTTCAAATTATCGCTTTTACTGAGACCTGGCTGAAGCCGGACATCTCAGACTCTTCAATTTTTACCTCCAAATACACCACTTACAGATGCGATCGAGTTTCCCGTATCGGAGGAGGAGTACTTATAGCTGTCGAGTCTGCTCTTTCGTCGGAACGCATTGATCTTCCCATCTCAGAGATTGAGTTGGTGGCTGTACGAGTTGTATTTGGTACTTTTTCTATCTTTATTACATGTTCATATTTACCTCCTCTATCTAATTTGTCTACCTATCAAACCCATCTTAATGCTATTAAATCTATCTCCTCCCTACTTTCTGATAGAGACCTTTTAGTAGTTCTTGGGGACTTTAATCTTCCTGTTGTCGAGTGGTCATCGCCATCAGACTCAAACTTTCTGTTGCCGTCATCGTCAAACGAATTTATTGATGGTCTACATGAAATGTCCTTACGGCAGGTTAATCGTGTGCGCAATTCAAGAAACAGATCTCTTGATCTAATTTTCGTGTTGGATTCGTTCAACAGTGTTGTGCACAGGATCAATCCGCTTACACTTCCTGAAGACCTTTTTCATCCAACTCTGGAAATGGTCATTGATTTACCAGCCCGAGTCCCTATCAAGGAATCGGAATTAGCTGAACGTATGCGTTTTTTCAGAAAGGCTGATTTTCATAAGCTTAATGATCTTATTCTGCAAGTCGACTGGTCCCAACTGTACAATTGTGCAGACATTGATGTTGCCTTGAAACTTTTTTATGACACTTTGTACTCGATTTTTGATGTCTGCGTTCCTCTTGATTACCCAGCGAGGCCTGATAGGCCTCCCTGGTTCTCAAAGGAACTGATGAGGTTAAAAAACGTGAAGTCGAGGTGTTATAAAAAGTTTAAGAAATCGGGAAATCACTCTGATTTCTCCCGCTATGCAGTTGCCCGATCAAATTTTTCCACCCAAAATTCCATCTGCTATAAGAATTACCTTCGGCGTTGTCGCCTTCAATTTTCACATAATCCTAAGCAATTTTTTAACTTTGTCAATTCTAAACGAAAGACATCTACTTTGCCTTCTTCGGTTAAGTTTGCAGATGAGAGCGCGAACACTGATCCAGGCATAGCCGATCTGTTCGCAAACTTTTTTCAAACTACCTACTCCTCCTCTAGGTATAATAAAAATCAGCCTTATCCTTATCAGTTAAAGAGGTCAAACTGCATCTTTAATCCCATTATTACCGAAAGTTCGCTTCTTAGCGACCTTAACACTATCAAGCCGGTTTACTCACCGGGCCCTGATGGTGTTCCTGCTTGCGTGCTTAGATACTGCGCTGCAGCATTATGTAAACCTGTTTTAAAACTTTTTGAATTGTCCGTAAACACTTCATCTTTTCCGACCATCTGGAAGGAATCATACATTATCCCTCTCCATAAGAAAGGGAGTAAGTCCGATGTCGAAAACTATAGAGGTATTTCCAAATTATCCGCTATACCTAAAGCTTTTGAGAGAATTATAACATCTCAACTGCAGCATTTATGTAGTTCTATTATTTCACCTTCCCAGCATGGGTTCGTGAAGCGCAGATCTACAACCACTAACCTTCTTGAGTTTACTTCATTTGTAATTGATGGGTTTAAGAAAAGAAAGCAGACTGACGTCATCTATACTGATTTCAGTAAGGCTTTCGACTCTGTCAACCATTCCTTGCTGCTTCATAAATTAAGCCTTCTCGGCTTCCCAGTCAATCTTTTGAACTGGATTTCAGAGTATTTGCGTGACAGAACCCAAAAGGTTCTTTTCAGAAATTCATTCTCTAAACGTATTCTGGTGACTTCCGGTGTTCCTCAAGGTAGTCATCTTGGCCCGCTACTCTTTACTCTTTTCATCAATGACCTTCCCTCGATACTGTCTCACTCTCGAGTATTAATGTATGCTGATGATGTAAAATTATGCCTTGCATATAAGGATATGGCATCATGTTATCTCTTACAAGCGGACATTGATGCGTTTCAGGCTTGGTGTCTAGCCAACCTGTTAAACTTAAACTGCTCTAAATGTAAGGTAATGACCTTCTATAGAAGCCCTCCTCAATTGGTTTCTTACATCCTTGATAGCATACCGCTTGAGCGTGTTAATAGTACTTCTAATGAAGTTAATGATCTAGGTGTCATCCTTGATCATAAACTTAAATTCGACTCTCATGTTAATACCGTGGTCAATAAGGCCAGAATAGTTATGGGTTTCATCAAGCGATGGTCGAAGGAGTTTGACGATCCGTACACGACAAAAACACTTTATATATCTTTGGTACGACCTATTCTTGAGTATGCCTCATGTATCTGGTCACCACAATATGCTACCCATCAGGACAGAATTGAATCCGTTCAGAAACAATTCTTGTTGTTTGCCCTTAGTGGTTTAAATTGGGATCCTCGTGTGCGGTTACCGTCATACTCCAGTAGACTTCTGATGATTAACCTTCCTTCTTTAATTAATCGTAGAACCATGCTGGGTGTAATATTTATTCATAAACTAATTACTGGTGAAATCGACTCTTCTGTGTTGACTAGCCAATTAAATTTCTCTATCCCTACTAGACTAACACGTAATTTTGTACCTTTATCGCTTCAATTTTGCTCAACTAATTATGCCTTGCATGAACCGTTCAGGGTTCTCTGTGATGACTATAACAAGCATTACAGAATATTCTGCTCAGAAGCTTCTCTTCCTCGTATAAAGTCTTCTATTCTAAACTATTTAGCAAGTAGATAGTCCTATTTTTATTTGTAATTGTATTTGTACACATACTCGTAGTTTGTATCAACTTTTTTTTAATATTTTTTTTTTCATATTTACTTTGTATTTCGTGTCGTACGTTACACGACTGCGCCCCTCGGTCGGTTGGGCGGGAGGTGGGATGCAGTACGTTGCATCGGGATTCGCGTTATAAAAAAAAAAAAAAAATAACGAACGCAGAATATGAAAATGAGATTGAAGATGATTTTATATACCAGCGGGTCTTGGCCCTTTTCCGTTGAATGTTTTGGGCTTAAAATTTTAAATATTACCTTTCCACTAAGTACACGCTCGTGGAAAGTTGAAATCCACCCATCTTGATGACCACTTTTTTTTAAAAATAAGTTTAAAGTGCATCAAATAAAGAACCAAATGTTGGAATCAGAGATTTCTGCCCTTGTGGTAAGAATCTTGAGCCCGACAAAAAAACTTGCTTTTACAGACCCTCATTTTCCATCCGAAAACGGTAAACTTTGCGAAGGCGTGTCAAATTAATTCTGATAAAGATCTCTGAAAATGGGTTTCAAATCGATAAGCAACCAAGAAGGTAAGTTATGTTTTTTTTTTTTTGCCAAATTACCACGGCTGCGGTGGTATTTTCTAAATCGCTGAAAGACGTATTCATTAAGTTTTTATGCAGAGCTTTGAAAATAAGTTTGATGCAGATCGAACAAAACTTAAAACTTCGCCCAAAAAATCTTTGAACCGCATTTTGCACCAAGGAAGCTTGGATTCTGCGAAGCACGTCTCAAATGATTTTTCGTATAGATCTTTGGAAATAAATTTGAACACGAAACGTCACCTACCCAATCTTTTACCCCCATTGCCACCAAGGTTGAATGCATTTTTCGAATAGTGCGAAACACCCCTCAAATGAATTTGAACAAAGATCTTTGGAAATGAGTTTGAGGCCGATCGGATAGTTGGGAAAAAACATATAGTGTAGTATGATCATGCTCGTCAGTGCTGGTTTGTAATCATTTTTAGAATGTTCTTTACTCGGAACTCAGTCCGCTTAAAAACCTAAAATATAGGTATTATTATATGTATAGCTCTGTCGCAGCAGAGCATTATTAAAAAAAAGAGAGTGTATGTATGTGTTTAATAACAGGGTGATATTTAATGCATAAACACACTACAATAGATTGGCAAAAAATAACTGCCTATAGGCCTTAAGTGCAAAAAGCTGTTAATACAAAGTTAGCTATTTTTTTTTTTTTTTTTTTTGTTTGTTTATTGTATTGAATCAAAAATAGCATACATTTTTATTACAACACAGTTGGCTTAGGTGAAATTAGCTATTATTGCAGCGAAAAGAAAATTCCAGGCAGCTATCTTACCTTGCAGCTATGTATCGAGGCAGCTAAGCAAATTATATAGTGTAGTATAAAATTATGTGCATTTAATATTCATTAAATGACTGCTATTTTCTGAATTTTTTGATATTTTTTTAATTCTTTAAAACTACAAAAAAACCTGACGCCACCCAGAGGCCAATCCGCTCCCCTGGTTACCTGATCCGCACCTCCCGTATCGTGGCATTTTCGGTTCGGCAATACTATTAAATTTAATTGAATATACTTATAATTTTTTAAAATATTTTTTTTTGCATTTTTTTGTTCACATTTAATAAATTTATATTTCTCAAATTACTGAAAATTCGTCTGTTTATAGTTTCTCTGGATCTTTGTCTTTTCTATATCCCAATAAGAAAAACTGCTCTCACTTTCGAAATTGCCGAGAGTGATGCTGCGGAACTAGAGGCTCCGACAGTTGCGCAACCCTCGAATCTATTGGTAATTTTTCGTTCAGCTGGCAATTAAACAACAGGGCGTATTGCTTTCTTGTGGAATTTATATTTTTTTAGTTGTATTGCTGCCCGTAACAAAGGAAATTAAAAAAAGTTTGCAGTGTGTTTTAAATCCGTTTTGCAGCGTTGTTTAAAGTATGGAGCGGCATTTGAGAGCTAGTAAGGCGAATTCCAAAGCCAACAAAGTTGTAGAAACAACTTCTCGTTAAATTTTTCAATAAGGTGCAACATCAGAATAGCTTTGCTTTTTCAAGCAAAGCAGAAGTCGAACACTTTTACACCCTACCCGAAACACTTAAAATGGTCATAAAAGTATCGATATCGTTCAAATACAATGATAGTCCAACAACCTACTTGCTTGACATTCTGATTTTATTATAAGCGAATCCGAATCAGTAAAAAAGCAATATCCGAAACCTTTCCGAATATGCCTTGAACATATGTCCGGTCCATAATAACATTATCTGGTCTGAATATAATAATAAGACTCGCCGCACCGCTAGACGACATGAAGAAATCCAGCATTATCGAGCTGCCTATTGGTAAGAAATGTTTTATGCATATTTTAAAAAAAGGTACTAAGTTTTTATATAACTCACAATCTAGGCTAAATGGACGCTCTTCGGTTTATAAAATGAAACAAACAGTTTTAGATTGAGTAGGGAACATGCAAAGGGCTTGCTAGGCCAGAGAAAAGACCCTGAGATAAGCTCGAGATACTCAAGATCAACATGTGCAGTATATGTGCACACATATATGTATAGAAATATACATATATTTTTATTTAGATAATCAAAATATATATATATTTTAATGCATATATGTATGCATGGCTACACAGATCCCAACTACCTTAGATATTAATACGCGAATTGTTTGATTATATTTAGATTTAGATTTAGATAATTTTTGAGATTTTCCCTAAGTATATTTAATTTTTTTTACCAACTGTTTTAAGGCATGTTATTTGTACTTCTGGGTATTTTTACCCCATATGCAGCTCCAAATACTCCCGGCTAGAGCTTGGGCTACTTTTCAGTTATATAAAAGTAGGCTTCGTTATTTTTTATTTAAATTAACTAGAGTTTTAGTATCAATAGCTTCAGAGTGTGTTATGTTACGCGTTCTGTTTACACAACAAAAAAAAAATATATTTAATTTAAAAAAAAACTCTTAAAGCCACGAAAGCTAAAAAAAAAATAGGTGAGTCTATGGGCATAAAATTCTTCAGAATGCTGCTGACAGCTGTTCATGTAGAAAAGCATAAAAATGGGCGAGAAAATGGTCGACTTTAGCGTACTGGACTATGATAACCATACGGATTATCTAAACTCGTTTGCGATCAAGAAAGATTTTCAATATTTGGGCAATCCAAAGGTGGTCACTTGCCTTGCCAAATTGGGATATCGCTCCACGAAAATACCTTACGATGAACCGGAATTCCTGAGGCGTCACGATTTGGCAATGCAAGCGATACGACCAAAAATAACGGGCATTCAGCCCTTCAGTACATTTAAGTCGCCAACGAATAGGGATCCAGTGCTGCTTGAGTTCAAGCGACGCGAGGAACCCATATACAAAAAGAACTTGGCGGTGAGTATAAGCATGTACAAGGTATATTATATAAACTAAAGCATAATGCCAACAGACAATTGTTTTTACCATGTATACAAGCACATATTGTTCGGAAATATCGGGCTATCTTGACTTGGGTATGAGCTGGACGAATGCGGCGCGCTCTGCCCACGCACATACGAACTGGCCGGGCATATTTCAGGGAACCGCCTTCCTGCGACCGATGCCGCATCATCTGAGCTACAGTAATCCACGCTATAATATGCTCAACTATTCGAATAGCGATAACTTTATTGTCTTACACGACCATCGGTATGGAATGATGTTTATGCATAGGGGTGATCAGAAACTTATACCAGTCGGTGATCATCCCAATCCGTTCGCCAAAAACGTACGACGATCAATGGCAATCTCACCCAAGTACGGCACAATGATATTCTACGATCATATTGTGCGCAAGAAGGTATAGAATTATTTCTATATATATATATATGCTCAACTATAAATTCAATTGTATATAAAATCCTATGATATTAGTAAAAGGTACTCGATGCGCTGGCGAAAGCCCAAGAAAATCATAACAAAAAGAATATTATTTTCGATCTCATGGGAAATCCCTCGCCTGTTGTTTAGAATATGTTTAGCACAACAAACAACAGAGGGCGCTCTAGATAGCATTTTCTCGCTCTCTCTCTCTCTCTCTGCTAGATGTCTTTTAAAATTAGCATAGTTCAGTTTTTCAGCTTTTATATAGTATGGACCACATAGCTCATTGTACTGCAGACCTCCGAACGTCATAGTTGCATTCTGTGGCATTTTCTTAGCCAGTTTTACATCATCAGTAGGAGAAAAATCAACTTAAAATGTGCCATTAAAATGCCCAAATACCAATAAAATGTGGTTAAAATATTATACATATGTGCTGCTGCTGCACTGGGCCACAGCCAGGGAGCAGTTTATGGTGGGTAAGTTCCTAAAAGAAATTCGTAAAAAATAAATAGAAAATATATATAAAACTAGGTCACTTGCATTGAATTTGGCTAAAAGTGTTCGCAAATATTTTTTCTTTTTGCTAGGCAGCATTTTCACATCGGATAAGGATGAGGCGGAAATAGCTTTTCGCACCGCTGTGGATCGGGCAAATATTTTGGAACGCAATATAGAGCTAGTGCCAATTGTGGTCTACGCCAATACAGAGGACAGCTTCATAATGGAGAAAACGGGTAAGCCTCAAGATAGTCAAGGGAATAACCGAATATCTAAATTTGCTTGCTGGCAGTTTGTAATCTGATTTCGCAGGGTGTTATTGCCATATTCGGACCCAGCACGGGCAGCAGTTCAGGCAAGTTTTCGATGCAGCGATTTCAAGTGTTTTCGCGGGACTCACTTGAATCATTTTTTCTTAGATATTATTGCCTCGATTTGCCACACTTTGGATATACCACACATTGTGTACGACTGGCAGCCACATAATCAGCAATACGAACTCTCCTCGATGACGCTCAATGTGCATCCCGATAATTTGATACTGGCGCGCGGATTTGCCGAAATCGTGCAAAGTTTCGGCTGGCGCAGCTATACAATTATCTATGAATCGGAGAAGGGTAAGTGCAGCCTACAAACCTTCTAACTAATCAATCCACAACCCAAATTTAAAGCTCTACGAAGTTGTTAAGCTGAGACACTTAAAAAAGGGCCGATGATTTAATACCCTTGCAGACCCAACCTCTTCAATATGCTCATAGTGCTTTGCCCGTATCTAAGAAGCACAGGAAAAATAGGTAATGCCGAGTATGGTTGAGATGTTTTGAAAAACAAAAAATTGTTCCATACAACAACTTAATTCCGACCGATCGTTCCTATGGTTCCTATATGATGTAGTGGTCCGATCTTGAGAGAATTTTGCATATATATGAGGAGCATAGTAAAATAAATAAATGCCAAGTTTGGTCAAGATATCTTGATAAACAAAAATGTTTTTCATACAAGAACCTACTTTTCGACCGATCGTTCCAATGGCAGCTATATGATATAGTGGTCCGATCTTAATAGGAATTTGCATATATATGGGGAGCATAGTAAAACAAATAAATGGCGAGTCTGGTCAAGATATCGTGAAAAACAAACAAGTTTTCCATACAACAACCTAATTTTCGACCGATCGTTCCTATGGTAGCTATATGATATAGTGGTCCGATCTTAATAGGATTTTATATATATATGAGGAGCATAGTAAAACTAATAAATGCCGAGTTTGGTTAAGATATCTTGATGAACAAAAAAGTTTTTCATACAAGACCGATCGTTTCTATGGCAGCTATATGATATAGTGGTCCGATCCAGCTGGTCTTGAAATATGTACTGCGTGCAACAGAAAGAGGGACTTCTGGAAAGTTTTATTAAGATAGCTTTAAAACTGAGAGACTAGTTCGCATAGAAACAGACAGACGGACAGACTGACATGGCTATATCGACTCGGCTGTTGATACTGATCAAGAATATATATACTTGTTGGGGTCGGAGATGTTCCCTTCTATGCGTTACACATTTCACGACAAAGTTTTAATACCCTCTGCAAGGGTATAAAAATAGGTGAAATATGTTGTAATAACGGTCGACTTGGACATCGAAACTGGAGGAAAATTACATTTTAAATATTATTCCTCAACCTTCTAAGTTTATTTCTATTAATTTTCCACAGAGCTGCAACAGCTGCAGGATGTATTACAAATTGGTGATCCGAGCAGTAATCCGACTACGATTAGACAGCTGGGCCCAGACGACGATCATAGACCATTTCTAAAGGAAATTAAATTGTCCACCGACAATTGTCTGATATTGCACTGTGGACCGGAAAATCTATTGAGAATTTTGGAGCAAGCCAACGAGCTTAAAATGCTGGGCGAATATCAGGTAAGGATTGTCTAAAAGTCTTTCTTTTTAACAACGATTTTTTTTTTAGAGCGTTTTTATACCCATGCTGGATACGCACACATTGGAACTGGGTGACATTTTGAACGTGGAGGCAAACATTACAACAGTTCGCCTGATGGATCCAACAGACTATCACATCAAGAACGTCGTTCATGACTGGGAGGAGCGTGAGAAACGTGAAGGACGCTATTTTAAAGTTCAGCCGACACAGGTAAAGACGCAGATGATATTGGTTAACGATGCCGTCTGGCTCTTCTCCAAAGGCCTCACCGAGCTGGGCATTATGGAGGAGCTGACTGCACCGGAAGTTGAGTGCAAACGCAGGAAGCCCTGGCCACATGGCAGGCGCATCATTGAGTTTATGAAAGCGGTACGATTGAATCTCGAGAAGAAGCAATAAAAACCCTAACTCCACTCTACTATAATCCCGTCTTATAGCGCTCCGAGGAGGTCGCCACAGGTCGCATAGATTTCAACGAATATGGACAGCGCAGTTACTTCAGTCTGCGCTTCATGGAGATCGATGTAGGTGGCTTCCTGGATCTGGCCACCTGGGATCCGGTCAATGGTTTGGACATGCTCAACGATGACGAAGAGAGCGAGAAGCGTGTGGGCCAAAAGTTATCGAACAAAACATTCATAATCTCCTCGCGCATTGGAGCACCCTTCCTGACGATGCGGGAGCCCGAAGAGGGCGAAATATTGCTGGGCAATGCCCGCTACGAGGGTTACTCCATGGATTTGATTGACAATATTGCACGCATGCTAAATTTCAAATATGAGTTCCGCATGGCGCCAGATGGCAAATATGGTAGCGTGAACAAAGCCACCCAAACATGGGATGGTATCGTGAGACAGCTGATCGATGGGGTGAGTCCAAATATTCATATATAAAATAAGAAACTTAAGGGAATACTACAACTCCTGCATAATCAATATTGAATATTATCAGCAGTAAAAACTTTTAAGCTTTGATCTCTCTTAACTTTCAACTCTTTCCAGAACGCGGATCTGGGCATATGTGATCTGACCATGACTTCATCCCGGCGTCAGGCGGTAGACTTTACGCCGCCATTCATGAATCTGGGCATAAGTATTTTATTCTCAAAGCCACCAATACCACCAACAGATTTATTCTCGTTTCTATCGCCCTTCTCGCTGGATGTTTGGATCTATATGGGCTCTGCGTATCTCTTTATATCGTTATTGCTCTTCGCGTTGGCCCGCATGGCGCCGGATGACTGGGAGAATCCGCATCCCTGCAAGGAGCCGGAGGAGGTAGAGAATATATGGTTTCTGAGCAATACAATGTGGCTGTCCATAGGCTCCCTTATGGGTCAGGGTTGCGATATATTGCCCAAGTGAGAAAAATCATTTAATATAAATTGGAAAAAAACAACAATTTCTCTACTTTTACAGGGCCGCCTCAACGCGCCTTGTGACTGGAATGTGGTGGTTCTTTGCCCTCATGATGTTGAACTCCTACACAGCCAACTTGGCCGCTTTCTTGACCAACTCCCGCCAAGCCAGCTCGATCAGCAATGCCGAAGATCTGGCTGCCCAGAACAAGATCAAATACGGCGCCTTATTAGGCGGCTCTACAATGGGCTTCTTCAGGGATTCCAATTTCAGCACATACCAACGCATGTGGACGGCCATGGAAAGTGCGAGTCCATCAGTTTTTACGAAAACCAACGACGAGGGCGTGGAGCGTGTGCAGGTAACTGGTTTTGCTTGCGCCTTCTGTTAAGATCGTTTGCCATGTTGTTTAGCTTAGAATTCGTGCCCATATCAAATGACATGCATAAAACGAAGACAAATACTGATTTTGTAGCGCGCTCTCTGTCGTCGCCAGACGTAGCAAGTAAGTCAAGTTAGAAAGCAACAACAATACAGAGCGAAGCAATAAGAGTGTGCCGGTCATAGGAAATTACATGCAACAGAAAGAGACAAACATTGAAACTGCCTTTAATGCTCGTTCCCTGTCGTCAGCCATGCTGGCAGCTTGGGCAACAACCACAAAGCGTTTCGACATCAATATTGTTGTTGTTCGGCAAAGATAAAGAAAATAAAATGGTTGCACACGGTAGACAGTGACGTCACAGTACATCACTTTAAAGAAATGCTCAATAAATATGCTAAACATATAAATTTTACTTATGTACATATATAACTATTGGGTTGTTTTAAATATTGGTTACTGTAACTTCAAATTTGCTGCTTGCATGAGCACACATTTCCATACATACATATTCCTTACAGTTATAAGTAGATCTTATTACTCAGTGCATACATATGTATGTATGTATGTATGTATGTATATACACACACAGTTATACCAAAACGAAGCGTACGTTTTGAGAGCAAATTTACATCTTATATTTCGTATTCAACCATGAATATAGTATAAGGCGCATTTTATTAAATATTTTTTTAATATTTTCGAGTTTAAGGCATAAAACCACTTACCAACGAGAATAAATTTAAGTAGATATGTATGTATGTGTGTATATGCATACATACATATGTATGTTTGTATGTAAATGAGACGGCTCATCCCACGAAAACGCGCACAACAATTTTAAATTTGGTTTTTTATAACACATTCTTTTGTGTACATAGGCACGGCGGTTTTTTTTAACTTAAATTCACAAATGGAGCATAGGGCTACATTAATAAATACACTGAATTTATAAAAACACAATAATATTGCACGACAGCTCCCGCCGCAACTTTGGTTTTGCGCGCGTCCTGCGTAAACTCGCTGACATTCTAACAGAAGAAGAGAGTTTTACAGTCGTAAGTTTTGTGCAATAGAGAGAGAGCGCCAATTATCCCGTGTCTAAAAGATTGCTGAATTCTATTTATGTATGTATGTATGAGTGTCTGCACAAACTGCAATTCCCTTCGATTGATTAATAATGTGAATTATTAAAAGGGTTTGCCACGACGCCTTGGAAAAATTTCATTTTACATGGCTTTAATTTTGTTGAGGGTATCTAAGGCTTGGTGCGTTTGCCTTTAAAATTTGCTTTTATTGCACAGGCTGTTAAACTCTCTTGCTCTCGGAGAGTGAGGGAAATAAAGAAGCGAGGAAAAATAAAGTCGCGATTGAACTTTTCGTGCCAAATTTTTGTTGTGCGTTTTAGTTTTGTGAATTCTCCCATCTCTAACTGTTCCGTTAGTTCAGTTAAATTTATGTATGCAAATTCGCGATTTAAAGTTAATAATAAACTTGTTCTGATCACAGAAAGGAAAAAACCGGTATGCTTTCCTAATGGAGTCCACCACACTGGAGTACAATGTGGAGCGTAAGTGTGACTTAATGCAAATTGGCGGCTGGCTGGACTACAAGAGTTATGGCATTGCGATGCCATTTAGTAAGTATAGCAATTAGCCTTATCAGAGTTCAAATGATTAAACTACGATTCTTGTACAGATTCGCCCTACCGCAAGCAGATCAGTGGCGCTGTCTTGAAGCTGGGTGAGCTGGGAGTGCTGTCTGAGCTGAAGAGAAAGTGGTGGAAGGAGATGCATGGTGGCGGCAGCTGTGGAGGCGACGAGGAAGGGAACGCTGATACGCCGGAGCTCGGCTTGGAGAATGTCGGCGGTGTGTTTCTGGTGTTGGGCTTGGGCCTGATGGCGGCCATGGTGCTGGGCCTCACGGAGTTTATGTGGAACGTCAAAACTGTGGCCATCGAGGAGAAGGTAAGCTCTTTGCTTACTTGATGAATCATTCTATTGATCAAGCTGAATTTACAGATCTCGCTTAAGGAGGCACTCAAGGCGGAGGTGATGTTTGCGTTATGCATCTGGATTACCACCAAACCGGTGCACGCCAGCGTCGGCTCCAGCAGCTCATCCTCTACGTCCTCAAGCTCGTCATCAAAATCCAAGTCGCATTCAACGCGTTCCAAGCATTCGTCCAAGTCTTTGGGCGTATCCAGCAAGAGTGTAAAGAGCGCCGGTGATCATGATGCGGAGTCCTCCGTTCACAGTAGGCTTAAGAAGATTGGATCTATGTTTTCGCTTAAATCTCAAAAGGCCTCAACGCCGCCCATTGAAATTGGTTGGAAATCTGATAAATCGACACAAATGAGTATTGAACCGACACCGCCGGCGGAGGAGGAGGAGGAACATCCACCAGAACGACGCCATCCTCATCATCATCATCATCACCATCATCATCAACGTCACCCAGAACAGGAGCCAACTTTGGATCAGCGAGCTAGCAAATTGAGCAACGGAGTTTGAACAGTCCTTAACTAACTTTAGAAAGAGTTTTTAGACCATTTGGTTATTTTGTTAATGGAGTTTCTCAATAATTATATAATACAATAATCATATTATTTAATTCGCTTCTCAAATAGGAAAATTTAAGCTTGTATAATATCAAAAATTACCAAAAATGCATTTACAAATCATTTTTAATTATAAAAAAACTCCAGATTTATAAACAAAACAATTAAAAGGCCTAAAAACTGTTTGGAACTCAGCAAAAACCTATCCTATAAAGTATTATGAATTTCTAACAATATGATTGTTTTTATTATAGTCCCCATTGAAAGTACTTTTAAATATTTCGGTTTTTTTGTAGTTTTTAATATTTTTAAATATTTTTTTGTTTTTAAATTGTTTTTTTTTCGGGCATATTGACTTGGTTTGTTTAAATTTGCTGCTTGTTTGATTTTCGGTTTTGAACATATTTTAAATTAATTGATTGTGAATCTCAGATTGTATACCTTTTAATATGTACTTATTTAAATCTAGTTGCTTCGATATTGTGAATATTTCGGTTTCTTAAATCAACATTTTTTTTAATACTTATTTTTTCATTTTTTTTAAATATTTGCAATATTTTATTAATATTTATTGTTACACATATAATATTTACTTGCAAAGCTAATTGAATACGTTTCTTGTTGCTCATTTTTTAAGGTACATTTAGTTGATTATTTTTCTCTCCAACTTCCTTTTTTTTGTTTTGTTTTTTTTTTTGGATTTTTGAGCTTCTTTTGAACTATAACTTATACACTTAAAGAAAAACGTTGCTCCTCGCCTACTAATAAATATTTATATTATACAAAGTTTTCATAATTGAGTATGAAGAGAAGTGAGAGCAAGAGATAGAGAAAGGGAGAGAGCAGAGCTTACGGAATGAGATATTCGGAGGAATTCTAAATAGAAACTTCAGTTTCAGTTATATACAAATTGTTGAAAACAAAAATATTACAGAGCGAAAAAAAATTAATTACATAAAACTAAAATACTTTTTTTTTGTAATTTTTCTCTTTCGAGTATTTTGTGTTTTTTTTTTTTGTTTAAAATTATTTTGTGGTAACTAAGTTAAATTGCTTTAAATATTTTGCTAAATTTTTTTGGGTAGGTTTTTTTTTTTTTAAAGATTTTTCAATATAGTTTTTGGATTTTCAGAAATGCAGAGAGCGCGCGCTTTTAATCACACTGTGCTTTGTCCAGAAACACAATGTCCCTTTGGCTGTGCCGACGTGGTCGTCAATCCTTGGCCGTAATGGCCACGGGCGGGAACTGGCGCTCATCGTACAGCTTTGTGGGCGTGTCAATGGCATCGCACAGCTTGCGAAACTTGGCGGAATCTACAAAATACAATAATGATGACTCTTTGACCAGATTTGGATATACTATATTATAAACTCACCGGACATGGCATCCGCCTGCTCGCCGCGCAGTATGGCCGCATAGCTGTTGTCCGCCACAGGATCTGGATTCTCGATGAGCACACTGGCCGCACAGCTCTTCAGCATGGTCAGCGATTGCTGCGGCAGTGTGGCCGGCAGCGTCTTTGATTGCGTCTTCAGCACGCTTTCGCTCAGCTGCAGTTCAATGACATCCTCGAGGGCGCCGCGCAGATCGTGCACCGCCAGCAGTTTGCAGGCGCCACCGCGCTCCGCATTGAAGTCGTGCATATAAAGGAATCCGTCCTCGCAGGCAATCAGCAGACGCAGCTCCTTCTGGATGCGCGTCAGCGCACAGATGTTCTTGAGGCCCGGCTGCGGCAGCTGCACCGTAGCAAAGGCGCGATCCTGGGCCAGCACATCGCTCACCTGGGCGGGCAGCAGCAGCGAGGACACCGCCTTGGTGAACATGCCGCCCCAGCTGGCTGCGGGCGCCTCCTCAGCTGCTGCCTCCGCAATCCCGGTCGCTGTCGTCGTCGCCGTCGTCGTCGTTGTCGTCGTCGTCGTCGCTTCCTTGTCCGATTTGGCAGCCACTTCAGCTGTAAGACAATCAGTTAATTTTCTGAAATGGGTTTTGCTCAGGACGTAACACTCACCAATGGCCTTCAGCTCCGCCGCCTCCACAGCCCGCGCATCGATCTTGAAGACATGCACCGTCTCCGTGTTGGAGGAGGCGCACAGATAGTCACCGCCCGCCGCAAATACCAGAGATGCGATCCGCACGCAGCGCTTCACGCCGCGCCTGAACTCCTGCACCCGCTGGCCGTTCTTTACGCAGAAGACGCGTATCACAGTGCCGCGCTCGGACGCGGTGGCCAGCAGTGCGCCGCTGGGCGAGAAGGTCAATGCCGAAAGGGGCGTGTCGTGCGCCTTAATCGTCATGCCCGTGCGCAGTTTGTGGGCATTGAAGATGCGCAGCTCGCCGCTGGACTGACAGATGGGAAAGGCCAAATGCGAGTTGAGCGAGAGCGCGCACAGGCCCTGTTCATTTGGCGCTATATTCTCAATCGAGTGCAGGATCTTCATGTCGCGTATATCGTGTATGTGTATGCTCTCCGCCAGGCAGACAATCAGACGCTGCCGGTTCATGCGCACGCACAGTATCTCCGACGGATAGAAGCAATTGCAAATGTCCTGTTTCTTCTTAAAGTGCAGCATCTTCAGGCAGTTGGGCTTCTGTGCGGTGACCAGCACCACCAGCGAACTGTTGAATAGCCGTTCCACAATCCGTATTTGCTCTGTGTTCTCCTTGGCAAAGATCTCCTCGACCTTGTCCTGGCCTCCAATCGAGTACAGGCGCAGGCCAGTGCTGCTCAGCACCGATAGGGAACTGCGGACGGTAAGTAATGGGATACGCTCAGTATATTAAATATACTATATTTCTTAAACACTACTCAACACTTATGTTATAATGTCTTATCAGTGTTGCTTAGCTAAATCCAATGTTAAGAGTAGCCGAGTCAACATAGAACTTCGACATTTGCGGACTGCAGAAAAACATCTAAAGCCAGGCTTGAAGCTGAACGCCTCTCTCTCTTTTACATGGCTCTGTAATCTAACATCGTATTTATTTTAAAATTAGCCCTCTCGGGCTTCCAAAAATTGCCGTAGTGGACGGTATTTCACGTCCCCATGGCGGGGTATTGGTTAAAGTTTTCAACTAGCAATAATCGCACCTCAGTAGAACTTCATTGGTTACGATATCGCCTCTGCGCAAAGATAACCTAGCACTGCAAAACAACGACTACTCCATGCACGCACAGCTACAACCAGTTGAGAATTCTAAGTGACATACACATAAATATACCAAGCTGTGAAACGTATTGTTGTTGCCATCTGTATAGCATGCTTTTGGGCTGCATTTTTGTTGTTGTTTGTGCGTATTTTGCCGGCAACTACATCCCTCTTTGTTGTTTTTTTGTAATGTCGGAATCTTTGAGTAACGGATGGTGTCGGTGCGGGGAGGGTAGATTGCATTTGAGAGGGTTGTTGGGGTCAGTGACAGCTGCTTCAAAGGCAGTTTTCACAACGTAAATGAGGGGGGCATTTTTAAATAATAAAATTAAAAAAAGTAAATTTGACTATTTAAAATATTTAATAAAATATTTTTACGATATGCCTGCTTTGGCATTCGAACTCGCACTACTTCGCACATTGTTGTTTGGCAGCACAGCAAAGCATATAAAGCCGTAATTAAACATTGATTATATATAAAAATAAAAAGTTATGTGTAATAAGCAATTGTTGCCAAATAGGTTAATATATACAGAATATTATTATTGCGTTTGCGTAAATATAAAAATCAAATAACAACAAAAACCGCTGCAACAAGTAGCAGCCGTGTGCTAGAGTGTGACAGCAATACATGACAAAAAATACCAAATACCAAAAAAAAAAGGAAATACCAGCGTTGTGCTTATTTAGGTCATTTCTCTATTTTGTCTATTCTTATGAGATTTTTATTTAATTAAACTAGACACATTTTTGAACTGAGATCCGGGTAAAAGATAGCCTTGCCGCACCTTTACACTTTGAACTTGGTACTTATTGCTAAACTGCTAAACCTAAATTAAATCACTGGGCGACAACTGGGATTCGCCCTCCGCCAAATAGATGTGCATGGCCTTGTGCAGCAGAGCGATTCCCAGCTGCTTCTTCTGCTTCATGGTCCAGATCTGGGCCGGACCATAGTAATCGCCGCGCTTCATGTTCGTCAAATGCGCGAGACCGAGGGCGTCTATGATGGACGCCTCGCGCGTGTACGCATCTGTGGGCAGAATATTGTGGAACACATGCAGGCAGACGACGCCGCTGCCATGCTGCCAGATGTCCAGGATGCGCTGCAGCTTCTTGCTGCCCGCCTTGCCCGGCGGCGGCGGCGACTTGAAAATCTCCGGCATTAGCAGGCAGCGTCCGACGCGCTTCTTTCCCGTCGCCGGCTGCTGCAGGTGGGCGCGCGTATGCTGACGCATTGCATCATAGAGATGGGCATACGGCCGGGAGGATTTGCCCTTGCCCACGTAGAAAATGGCATCCAGAAAGCGCGACCAAATGCTCAGCGGATCGAGAAAGCTGCGCTCGCCCGGCAAATTCCTCGAGATGCGCGGATCAATCAGCATATAAATGAAGCTCTGCTTCAGATGACCCTCGCGCAGCTGGCGGCCACCCGCCGCAGCCGTGGCAAAGTGCGCGGCCGAGGCGCACTCGTGCGCCATATACCGCTCGATTCGCTCGAAGTCCGCCCGGGAGCGCAGCGTATGGTGCAGCTCCACGGAGTACTTGATCTGCGCCGCCTTCGCGTGCCGCTGCGCCGCCAGCAGAGCGGCCGTGTTCCGCTTGTACTTGATCAGCTGCTTAATGTACAGCCGCTTGGTGGTGTGCGTGATGGGGCCGACGGGCGGGGCGCCCAGCTGTGTCAGTTCCGCACGCAGTGCATCCGTCTCGTAGTCCAGCGGCAGGCTCACATTTGTGCTGGCGCTGCTGTCCAGCTGCACCTTGGCTGGCGGCGCCGCCAGCCGCTGCTGCTTGGATTTGGCCACATTCTGCAGCAGCTTGGTCTCATAGAAGACGAGTCCATTCTCGTCGTCCGTGTGCACGTAGGCCTCGGTCATTTGCAGATAGTAGGACTTGTCTTCCGTTGGCTCTTCCGGGGCCGTGTGGTAGCTCTGCTCCAGGACGCAAGCCTGCGCCACTTGCTCCACTAGCTGACCGAAGGCGGCGCTGCTGCCTTCAGTTGGCGCCGCTTGTTCCTGCTGCTGCTGCCTCTCCTGCTCGTCCGCCTGGCGCAACGCCTGCTGCACATGCTCCTCGAAGCTAAAGTCCGGCTGGGCCATGGCCTGCTCCACCAGGCTCTCAACGTGCTCGGTCTGCAGCAGCGATTTGCGTGCACGTGAACGCTCCACCTTATCGCGCCAGCTTTCGATCAGCGTACGTCGTCCGCAAGACGACGCCTCCTCCTGGCTGTGCGTCAGCTCCGCCAGATGATCGCGTGTTAGCGTAAACAGATTAACCGACTGCTCCGGATCCGCGATATCTGGAAATTTTGGCTGCGGCCTGCCACGCCTGTGCGTTATGTTGATGTAGTAGGGCGAGGTAACGTCATGATTGTACTTGATGCCCGACTTGGGCGTCACGAGCTGCTGCTGTTGCAGCTTTTGCGCCTGCTTCTCCCTGAGGATGTGGTCGCGCATCAGCTGCAGCACCTCGAAGTGGCACTCGTCAATGGCATAGTGCACGGCCAGCTTGTGCTCATCGTCCTCGATATCCGGCCGGGCGCCGCGCTCCAGCAGCAGACGCACCAGCTCCACCCGGCCATAGATCGCGGCTATGTGCAGCGCCGTCATGTTGCCGTCGCAGCGCACATTCACGTCCAGCCGATCGCTGGCGAGGAAGCGCTCCAGTATGCGCGCGGCCAGCTGCTCGTTCGGCATGCCGCACACGTAGTGCAGCGGTGCGATTCCGCGCTCGCAGGGCACAATTCCGGCATTGATGGTGTTTCGGTCCAGCATGGAGAATATATCCGATTCGTTCTCGTCCTCGAGTGCGTCCAGCAGCGTCAGGGCTAGGAAATTGGCGCGCTGCTCCATGGCATGTAATGATTGATTTTTCACACCCTTCAGCTATTTAATTATCCAATTATTTTCCAATTTCCGCGTTTTCAATGTCAAATGCAATTTGCTTTTGTTGTTGTTTATGTTTTGCGTGCGCTTGCTGCGATTTGGTATATTTTTTGTGTTTGGTATTTATTTTGTGTGTTACGCTGCCACACTCAGTCAGCGGCGACAGTGTTGCAAAACGCTCGCAAGAGCGCGCACTTTGAATTCAGCTACAAAAAGCTTTTGATTTGTTTTGATTGTTTTCTTTTTTTGCACTTAATATTATGCACAACCGTTGCTGGCCATGGAAACGTTTGTGCTTAATATTTATGTCAAATTATATTTCAGGCACGTTTCTTTATACGAGAGCAGCAAATCTCATGCTGAGCGCAACACGTGTGTGTTTCGGCTCAGACGATATGCTATTATAGAGGTTTTCTGAGTTTTTTGCTTCTTTTTTGGAATCAAAACAAGTTTCTCGGCAAAAGGCGTCGTCGCAAAAGGGGCTCAAGGTCACACTCACACTCACACACTATGAGACCCAGACCCCTTTTGCAAACCGATAACACGACGGCCTTGTTTGCGGTTTGTTTGTATTTTGTTTTTTTGCGCGCGCCTCTTTTGTGTTGTTTACTAACAACTAACTAAAGCTTAATTTTACGCAGATTTAACAATAATATTTGTGTAAAATTGTGAAATGACGCACTCGAATCACAGCCGTAAAATGCATGATAAAAACACAATTGACTCATAAATAAAAAGCTCAGGTTCATTCGCATTAAATGCAAAAGAAACATGCCGAAGTTTAAATACTCCTTGCTTATGTAAGAAAGAGAGTCATAAGTTAAGTCAGAACCTAAAAACACTTCAGATAGTGTATCAACAGGGTATATTAAAAAATAACGCAAAACAAAGCGAAACGGCAAACCGCGTAAACAGCTGGTGTAAACAAAAACATGAAAACAGAAATATTATGAAATGCTAAGCTGCACTATTCGTGGCCCCTGGACAATGGCAGCTTCGCAACACGTGTTTTTTGTGCCTTGCCGTTATCAGCCTCCAATACCCCCCCCCCCTGCACCTGTGCCCTTGAACTTGGCAATCAAATGCAAGCGAAATGTCTAATTGGTTTTTTTTGTACAGTGCATTCACCCGCGTCGCGCTTTTGAAAGCTAATTGATTTGTTCTGATTAGAAAGCGTTTGCATGCTATCTCTTTTTCACTGCATGAGCTCTTTGTTCTCGCTTTATGACGCGCGACCATCAGGTTTGTTGGTGTGCCTCGTATAATTGCGTTCAATAATGTATGTAAGTGTGTACGCATATGTGTATTTGTGCCAAATACATACATACATGCTTTAAGTGTTTTTCTTTTTCGGATTTTCGCAATAAGCAGTAATACATATATTGATTGTTTTTGTTGTTGCTGCTTCTGTGTGCGTCACTTGCACTTTGCCTGGGGACAGAGCCATAGAGAGTGTGAGAAAGAGCGAGAACGGGAGAGCAGTCTAATAGTTTTGTGTCAGCAAGTAACGGTGGTTTTGCCAGTAAGCTAACCTCAATATGACATCAGCTGAGCAAAAATAAACAATCTTTCAAATACAACAACAAATTTCAAACTAATTGAACAAGTTTATTCAGTTTGCAAGTCACAAAGGCAGCAGCAACAAAACAAATGAAAAAGTATAATATATAAAAAGAAGACAGCATCAGCTGTTGCGCATTTTCAGTATGTGTGTATGCTTGTGTTGGTGTATTGGTGCATTCAAGCTTATTACACTGTCTAGAAAAACCAACAATTTGAGACTTTACATTTTTTGTAAATGTTAAGATGATGTCAGATTTACTTTGGCTTAAATGGACCCAATTTGATAACAATAAATATTAAACAAATAATAATAGTCCATCACTCGTAACTATTTTCGTGATTTACTTTGCTGGCTAGTGTTCTTGACTAGTTTGCCATTACCTATATTTCATAATAAATGTATGCATGTCATTCTTATTAGAACTGGTTGTTTGCATGTTCTAATAAGCAAAACGACGCCAATACACGCTCGCATACACACTGACACACACACACACACGCACACACACTCGTACTGATAGGCTCTGTTACAGTTCAGCTATTAGCAGCCATTGTTTCCGCTCCCGTAACCGCCCCCGCTCCCAGCAGCTGTTACGCTTGTTTACTTGTCTCATTTGTCGTTGGGTGTATCTGACAGATTTTTTGCTGCATTTTTTTTCGCCATAATGACCTTTATTATATCCAAGGAAGGCTTTTGAATATGTCTATTGGTGTTTGCTGGGGGGACAGATATGGTGTTTAATTTGTTGTAACTTACGTAAAATCCTGGTTAAAATTCATTTGATATGCTGCCATTTTAGCAATCTGTTACAGCTGTTTTATCAATTTTATATATCGTATTTCACACACTTTCACTTGCGTTTTTATTTTTCGTTTGCTTTAATTCGACTTTGATTTAATTTGTTATTGCTCTTTTCACATTGAAAAACGCAAAAATACACAAAGAGATAACACTGTATGTTGATATTTTAAATGTTAAGCTACAAATTCGATTTTCAACGTTGTTTTTGTCCGTCTTTGTTGTTTTTCTACGCTCTTCTTATTTGCTTCTGTTACATTTTCAAACAAATGTTAATATACTAATGGATAATTGAGCTTGACAGCACCAATCGAGTAGTTTCGTCAAGTGAGTAAAGTTTGCTCATCACTAGTCTGGGCAAATTGTCCGACCACCACAGTTTATCGGTCGCCTATCGGTTCTCATGCGTCGAAAAATAAAGTAATAGTATAAAAGTAATTAAAATTATGCTTAATTCGTGCAATAAAACTCTGTGCATTAAGTGTACTTGAAGATTAAACAAATGCTGTGCGTTCTTTGTACTATTGTTGCTATTTTGCAAGTGTAGTTTACAAGATTTTGAGGGCCTTACACATTTTTTCAGCAGACGCATGAAAAATGGCGGCGTCTTCAGCTACGGCTGAATGTAAAGAAGAATGTAAAGATAAAGATGACGATGCATTAACCACAACGCTACATTCATGTGCAAACGATCCAGATTTTGCAGTAATTTGTGCATTTTTTCAAAAATTTGCCAAAGATTTGGGCTTGGCTTTGCCAAATTTCAAGCATTTGCAGGAGTGGTTGACAAACAACGATGAAGGTACGTATTTATGTATGTATGTGCGTGCATATATATGCAACTGTGCGAGTAGTGTATGTGCGTGTATGTGTGCGCGATTGAGAGAGCGAGAGAGAGAGAGAGGAATGCTTGCTTGTTTGTATTATTGTTTGGTATGGAGCAAAGCGGAGACCGAAAAAAATGCAGCTGAAAAAGAAAACAATAACAAAAACAACAATCAAAACATTTCGATCAACTTTTCACACATACACTGTTTTTCTCTTTCAGTCGCCGAACTGCGCGATATGCACATTAAGCTGTTGCGTAAAACACGCAAAACGGTGCACGAAAAAAGTTGGGAATCATCGGTGAGCAAATTCTGTTTCGGCTACTCCCTGCAGGATGCCTGGGAGATTGAGCGATTCGGTTATCGCAACTCCAGCCTGAAGGTCAAACTGCGTATCCTACGCGTGAGTATAAAGGCGGCAGAGAAAATTTGCAAATTTAATTTAATTTTTCAATTAAAAAGTTTGATATTAATGCTTCAATTCTTCGCTTTCAGGAACTGCTTGAGAGCCAATTCGAGCGTAATGCCAAATTTCGTGCGAACATTCTGACGCAAAATGCGAGCACATTGCGTGCACAGCCAATAGGGCGTGATCGTTTGGGCCACGCCTACTGGCTAACACAGGATGGGGACTGCAATTTGCGCATTTATCAGGAGCATTTGGACGAGGAGATATGGCAGGTGGTGGCCACCAATCGAGATGAATTTGTGAATTTAATTGCACGCTTGCGCGGCAACGAGGTCGTTCTGCCCTCCAAGGATATCGGTGAGGCGGATGAGGATACTACAAGCAGCAGCAGCAGCAGTCAGAATGCACCGCAGCCGGCTGCAACCGGAGAACAGCGGTCGGAACAGGATGATGATTCGCACGAGGCAAAGGTACCCAACTTAAAGATCAAGCTGCGTACGCCCGAGCAGCAGCAGCAGCAGGAGCAAACGGAACCGGATCTGAAGCCCAAGAAGGTCAAGGTGAGTATATAAGCTGAAATTCACCAAAATACTCTAATTACCCAAAAATCCATTGCAGCCGCTGCTAATAACTCAGGCCAAACTGAGCGGCTCGCCAGCGCCGGCTAAGAAACGGCCGTTGGAGGATTCGGACGGCAGTCCACCGTTGGCGTCGGAGGAACAACATAAGAAGCAGCGACCCACACTGTTGGACACAAAACGTATTAAGAAGCCCAGTCGCTATGAAAGCACCAAATCCGAAGATGATAACGAAGTCGACTCGGAAGACTCGGAGTTGGATGAGGGCGAGGAGGAGGAGGAGGAATCGCTAGATGGCGAAGAAGAATCACTTGATAGTGCTGCTGCTGACGAGGATGAAAACGAGCGAAAATTTAACGAAGACGATGAAAATGATGAAGATGAAGATGATGAGGATGATGATGATGATGATAATGATGATGAAGTCGGCGAAGCCATTGAAGAGCCTACGTTAATAGTTCGCGGCCAGGGAGCCGGTCGTGACTGCCAGGCATTGCCAGATGATATACAGTTTCTTAGCGACTTTGCAGCTAATGAGGAATTGGATGCGCCTGTGGGCGAGACAATCGTTGAACCGCTCTACTATGTGCTCGGCTCAGGCAGCGGCGCTGAGTGCCTGGTTGGCAATGGCAATACGGAAACCAATGCCGAGGAAGAGCCCCCAGCAAAGACCGAGCCAAAGGCGACGTTCTTTTTCGGCGAGCCAGGCTGCCTTAAACTAAGTCCCATTAAACAGACGCCAAAGCAGGAAACTAAACGCAGCATATTCGATAGCATAGGCGAGCCGGAGACAGAGCCAGAGAAAACAAATGGAGAGAGCCTTAAACCGGCTGAAATCGCGGCAGAAAACGAAAAGAACGTGGCACCAGTGCTCAATGGAAATGAGTCCCCGGAGCAGCAGCAAGAGCTGGAAACAAAATCCCAGCCAAGCTTTGAAAGTGGCAAAATTGAAGCTGAAGAAAAGGATGCAACACCAGAACCAACGGAAAAGCCAGTCGAAATTGCGACTGAAAAGCCAAGTGCAACACAAGAAATCTCAAATGAACAAATGGAGGAAAAGCCTGAAAAATCCGAAGAAAACGTCGAACAAGTTTACAAGGTGCGGCTGATAGAAACGGCAGACGAAGCGCTGGAAATAGTTAGGGAAAGCATTAAAATTGAAACAACAAAAGAGGCAGATGATCTGGAATCCAGAAAGAAGCTTCCACTTGTAGCTGAAAAAACTGATGAAGATATTAAGAAACTAAACAAAATTCATGCCGAAGGAGAAGAAGCCCCTAAGCCCATTGATGATGCAACGGCAGCTGAAAAGAACGCAGAACCTGCAGCTGAACCAGTTAAAGAAACTCTGAAAAACAACACGAAAACGATTGCAAACGAACAAACTGAGCCACAGCAGGCACCAGCAGTTGCAATTATCAGCGAATCTGTTGAGCCAGCTGCAAATGGAGCACAAATCGTTGAAGCCGACGTAACTGCTGCTGCTACTGCTAAAATATCAATACCTGCTGATGACCCGGCTGCTGAGAGTGGCAACAACAAAGAGTTATCGGAGACAGTACAAAATGAATTGCCTAGCACCTCGAAGGTCGTAAACCCAACAGATAATCAAAACGTCAAGCCTGAAAAGCCTATAGAAAACAAATCCCTAGAGCAGAGCTGTGAAGCAAAGGAAACCAAGGACAGCAAGCCAGGAATTGCGGTCTCAAGTGCCGCGCCCGTGAGCCAGGACAGAAAACTAATGCTGCTGCCCAATCGCAAGCGTCGTCTGGCCGAGTTTGCAGCGCCCGCAGCGCGTCAGTCCACATCCGAAAGCGAACTGGACGTACATGGCGAGCTTCAGCTGGAGGATGAGCAGCAGCAACACTTGGATGCTTTGGACAACGATGACGATTTGGATATTGGCGGTAAGCGCATCAAAATGCGCCCAAAGATCACCAACGTTGAGGTGCGTCGCAAGGTGGAGGCGCAGAAAACACAAATCGAGGAGACCACCTCCTCGAGTGGCGAGGAAGATGCGCGCAGTCGCCGCAAGATCATTGCGCCCAAACGTCATCTGGAGAAGCCCAATCCGGTTAAGCAAAAGCCCACACTGGCCGAAATAATTGAGAAGAAATTGAAAAAGACGCCAGAAAAGCCAAAAGAAGAGTTGCCCGAGCAGAAGCCGGCGCAACCGCCACCGCCGAATCCGGCGACCATGACAACGACGATGACGCAGCCAGTCAACGAGGTCACGCCGCCCGCAGTGGCAAAAGTCGAACCGGTGCCCTTTACACCGCCCAAAAAGTCGCCCATTACGAAGCCGCTGAAAAAAAATTTGCTTACCCAAATCCGTCAGGAGGAGAGCGACGAGGAGGCCATACCCAGAAAGCGCACCAACAGTGAAACAGTTGTCGGTCCAGCGCCAGTTAACCCAGGCTTTGAGTCCACACTGCAACGCAAACGGCGCAGCAGCGAGGAAGCCAAAGAGTCCAAGGAGGCCAGCGCTAGCGGCGAAGAGTTGCCCGCAACTAGCGAGAAACTCAAGCGCAATAATGATCAGCAATTTCTAGAGGAGGAACTGCCCACATCAGCACCTCAGCAGTCACAGCCAGTGAAGCAGTCGACACCACAGCCGCCGGCTACGCAAGCAACACCTCCACCCGTCAAGCAGGCAACACCGCCTCCTGTGAAGCAATTTGCAGCTGCTCCCGTGAAGCAAGCAACACCTCCACCCGTCAAGCAGGCAACACCTCCACCCGTCAAGCAAGCAACACCTCCACCCGTTATTCAGGCAGCACCTACTCCCGTCAAGCATGCAACACCTCCACCCGTAAAGCAGGCAACGCCGCCTCCCGTGAAGCAAACAACATCTCCACCTGTGAAGCAAGCTGCAGCTCCTCCCGTAAAGCAAGCAACATCTCCACCTGTGAAGCAAGCTGCAGCTCCTCCCGTAAAGCAAGCAACACCTCCACCCGTGAAGCAAGCTGCAGCTCCTCCCGTAAAGCAAGTAACACCTCCACCCGTGAAGCAGGCAACGCCTCCACCCGTGAAGCAAGCATCACCTCCACCTATCAAGCAAGCTGCAGCTGCTCCTGTCAAGCAGGAAACGCTTCCAGTCAAAAAAGCAACAACCCCTCCCGGCAAGCAAGCGACGCCACCGTCGGTTAAAAAGGAGGCGCAGCTGGTCAAGCAGGCAACACCACCAGCTGCTAAGGAGGATACGCCACCACCAGCCGAGTCCTTGGGACGGCGCTCTGGACGTCGCGGTGGCGCCGCAGTTGTCTATTCGGAGCTGCCGCAGCCCAAGCGCACCAGGGGTGGCCCCAAAGAAAAGCCCGTCGTTGAAATCAAGCAGCATATCAAAGAAGATCCACTTAAAATTGAAGAGGATGTGAAGGACGAGGAGAAGCGCGAGGAGGAGGAGCAGCCGCAAACAGCTAAAACAAAGGAGGAACCCCAGGAGGAATCCAAAAGTGATCCACTCGCTGAGGAGGAGCTAACGATCGAGGAAGAGCCTAAAAGCAAGGAGGAGTCTGAAGAGCCAGCGGAAAAACCAAAGAGTTCAGAGCCCAAGGAGGAGATTGCAAAGCCAGCTGGCGTGGGGCGTGGCCGGGGTCCGCGCAAAAAGCGTGAGGTGGACACTACGAACATAATTGACACCAACGACTCGGAGACGCCGGTGCGTCAATCGCGTCGCATAGCGCAGCAGAAGATCAAGGAGGAGGCGGAGCGACGCAAATTGGAGGAAGTGGCGTTGCGCACAATGAAACAGCAGCTGAAGAACAAGAAGAAGGCAGAGAAGGAATCGGATCCCACTGTGCTAGAGCCCTCGGCAGAGTCCGAGTCTTTCGAGTCGGCCAGCGAAGCCGAAGAGACCAAAAAGAAGATCAAGAAAAAATGTCCCGGCAAGGATGGCTGGTCCTCGGACTCCGAGGAGCAGGCTGAAACCGAGGAGGAGGAGGAAGAGCCACCACACTATGAGACAGATCCCGGTTCGCCGCTTTTTAAATCCGATCACGAATTCTCACCTGAATCGGAACTGGAGGACGACAGCCAAGTGGTGCCCATGAAACGGGCACGCACATTGCGCAAAGAGAATGCCGACGAGGAGGATTACGCAGCCGCTGCAGATGCGGACGAAGCGTGCCAGAAGTGCGGCAAATCGGATCATCCCGAATGGATTCTCTTGTGCGACACGCCCGGCTGCAACAAAGGCTATCACTGCTCCTGTCTCAGTCCCGTGCTCTTCTACATACCCGAGGGCGATTGGCACTGTCCGCCCTGCCAGCAGGAGCAGCTCATCGTTGCCCTCGAGCAGAAACTGCAGCAGTTCGATGATTTGGTTGCTCGCAAGCACCAGGAGAAACTTTTGGCAGAGGAGGCAGTGGTAAGATTATCCTTCACTTAAACTCTTACATTATTTTGGTTGCCAGAACGTCTAGGATCCCAAATGAGGATTCCTTCCAAAAAGTTAACATTCCTTTTCGATTTTCATGATATCAATTATTGCTTAGTATGTACCCTAAGAGAGGGTATTCAAAGCCACGACCCCGTGAAATATATGATCTCAACGAAGACCTAATTCGATATAGCTTGTCCGTCTGTCTTTTCATCTTCTTCATATGAAGAACATCTTAAGCTCCTACAAAAACGATCGATAGTCAATTGTTTGTGTGCTTATACAAAACACTTGGGGGTTAAAGTAGAAAGCAATATGTTTGTCCGCGAAAATAAAACTCTTGCCTATTAAGCCCAGAAATCATTGAAGAGTATATTACAATCGGAAGGAAGCTATTCCGATCCCACAAAGTCTATGTATTCCTGATCTGCATAAACACCTGAGTCGAACTGGTCATATACGTCTGTCTGCCCGTTCGTCTGTCCGTACGAAGAAACGCTAATATCTCAGAGAATCACACTTTCCCTTCTACGGAAAGTGCAGATTGCTTAACCCATATTTACGTAATCGATAAAAATCGATAATAACTTTCCGTTTTATGAGCATATCTCGCTTGAGAGCTCTTGTGTAAGGAGCTACAGACACCAAATTTGTCTTTCTATTGCACAGGTTGACAATAGACCATAGCAAATCATCAAGAGATCACTATATTTTTTATCAAATCGATAAGTATCGATTTCAGATTGGGGTTTTTCAATCATATCTCGGAGCTTATAAGATATAGAGGCTACAAAAAATCGAATTCTTAAAGCTAGATTCGTGCGCTTTGGTATAGGCACACATTTGGGTGTTATAATTAGGCTCTGAAAATTTGATGATGGAAAAGATGGAACTTTAAACTCCAGAGTTATTCAAGAATGCATTTCTCATAAAGTAGGCCCAAAGGAAGGCACATCCTTCAGCATAAATTGCTCGCGTATTTTATGCGTGTGTGTGTTTGTGTGTTTTTGCGTTTCTATGCATGGAAGGATATGCAAGGATGTTGGAATGTTTGTAACGGCAGAATGATGACAGGAAATGTCCAAGTCGGAAACGCACTCTATGGAAAAATAGCTCCTTGTGTGCGCATAAGTTAATAGGAATGCACATTGAGGTAACTTAGGCCTGGAGCAGGATGTTTTCTAGACTCGCCCCCTTTCCATGGAATCGTAAAGGAATTTTTAGGAATCTGCAGTTGATAGAAACCAAAGTCCCTTTCACTTTACTGCCTTAATGCTTTGACTGATATGAAATCCTAACCTATTAGCGCCAAGCGGAAGCCGCAGCAGCTGCGCGGACCGCCAGCGAGCTGGAGGAGCGCTCCAATGCGAAGAAGAAGGATGACAAAGATGATGGCGAAGACGATGAGGATGACGATGACGACGATGATGATGACGATGACGAAGGCGATGGTTCCAGCAAGGCCAACAAGCGCTCCAAGCCGGAAAAAACGAAGAGACGACGCGGTGACGGACGCAGCAATCGGCGTGCAGCTAAACGCGGCACTCGACGCCGTCGCGGTGGCAAGAACGACGCATCGGACAGCGGCAGCAGCGCCACGAAGGGCGGCAACCAACAGTCGGGTGGCGTAGGAGGAGCACGCTCGGGGGGCAGCTCCAGCAGCAGCGATAGCAGCAGCAGCAACAGCAGCAACTACTCGGACTCGGACGATGAGCCCATCTACAAGCTGCGCAAGCGTCGGCAGATCAATGTCAGCTATCGGCTCAATGAATACGATGATCTGATCAATTCGGCGCTAAAGAAAGAGATGGACGAGGTGGCGGGGGCTGGCAATCTGGGCAGGGGCAAGGACATCAGCACCATCATTGAGGCGGACAAGGAGAAGACGCGACGCGAAGAGGAGGGCGACGATGAGCCCGAGGAGGGCGTTCAGGCACAGGCCAAGGCGGCAAGGGTCATGTCAGAGACGCAGCACAAATCCAGCAACGAGGATGACAGCAACGACGACAACGAGGATGAGCAGCCACTGAAAACGGTTGGCAAGTCCAAGAGCAAGGCGTCTCAGCCGGTTAAAAAGAAGGCACGTAAACTGACCACACTGGATGTTAGCTCCGAGGAAGATCATGGCAGCGATGAGGACTTTAAAACTTCCAGTTTTTCGGACGAGGATAGCTCGCAATCGGCCTCGGATGATTCCGATTCCAGTCTGGAGGTCTATCGCCGGCCCGGGCGTGGCAAAAAGCAGCGCAAGGCAGCTCGACGTGCCGCACGTGAGCGCCGCAAGGATCGCAAATTTGTGGTGGAGGAGAGCGACGAAAGCGACGAGGAGGAGCAGCGGCAGCAACGCTCCAAGGCCAACAAATCACAAAAGAAGAAAAAGAAAGAAGATTCCGACTACACAGAAACGGAAACTGACGACGATGATGACAACGGTTCCGAGTTGTCGGAGAACATGGACAGCGCTGATCTGTGTGATGACACAACCAGCGAAAGCGAGGACGGCACCTGGCATCCATCGAAGCGCAAGAAGGCAGCCGCTGCCAAGAAATCCTCCATGGCCATCGCACGCAAGTCTCCGAAATTGAAGAAGCCCGCCAACAAGAAGACCAAACAGCTCGAGTATTCGGACGATGACATCAGTGAGAGCGAGGAGGAGGACGAAGAGGATGACGACGACGAAGTCCAGATGGGTGCCAATGGTGCGCCCATGTCGGGCAAAGGTTCCGGCAAACAGCCGCGTTCGCAGCCTTTAAAGAAGACGACAACAACGACAGCAACGTCGGCGCAGGCGCAGTCGTCCGGCAAGGGCAAGGGCAAAGGCAAGGGCACCAAGAAGAAGAAGAAGGCCGCTTCCTCTGATGATGGCGGCGGCGGTGGCGGCTCCGATGAGCGTACGCGTACACGAGGCCGTCGCTATGCCTACATTGAGGACTTTGACGATGACAGCTCCGATGGTGGCATCAAGCCGGGTGTACAGCGTCCCGATACACCGCCCGAGGAGCGCCAGAAGTTCATACAGAAGCAGGAGGAGATCAAGCGCATGCTAGCCGAAAAGAATGCCGAGGGCGCCAAGCTGGCGGCAACGCCACGCCTAACCCCAATCAAGGGCTCAACAGCCGCAGGAGCAGCAGGCGCAGCAGCAATGGCAGCCGCTTCCCAGCAGCTGAAGCAGCGTACGCCCAGCAAAGTGGGCGCTACTCCAGGTGCAGGTGTAGGTGATTCGCTGTCTACGGTGCCGTTGTCTGTGATACGTCAGGCCAAGGTGCTGGACATTGATTATCTGCATCGCAAGGGCGAGGCCATTGATGATCTGGACGATGTCGACTCGGAGCTGGATGATACCGAGCTGCCCGATTTGCCCGAAGATATGGAGGATGCCATTGCGCGCATGGTGGTCGAGCAGTTTAATTCGGAGTCATCTGTACGTGACCTGCCGCCACCGGATGAGGTGTTGCGCCATGCCACGCCAGCCAAAGCGAAGGTGTCCAAACAGCTGGCAACAACGCCTCCGGAACCGTTGCCTAGCGCCTCGGGGCTGCAGGAGCCGCTGCGCAAACGCTTGCCCATGCCCACCATGCATCCGCCGCTGCTGCGTCATCAGTTCTCGCCGCATGGTCCACCAGGTGGGCTACCCGCCTCGCTGCTGCCGCCGCCGCCGTCTGGGCAACAACAACATCAGCAGCCGCCACCAGGCATGCATCCAATGCTGCAGCGTCATCTGGCACCACCGCCGCAGGCCATGCAGCTGCTGCAGAATGCTCTCTCCGCGCCGCTGGGCCAGCCGCTGAGTCGCGCGAACTATGCGCCTGCACAGCAACAGCAACCGCTGTCGGCCATGCAGCGTCTGCCCTTGGGCATGTCCATGCCGGCTGCTGCAGCAGCGCATCTGATGCAGGCCGCCGCTGCGGCAGCCAATGTGCGTCCGCCGGCGCCAGCGCCCGATTCCAAGCCGCGTGGTCGCCGAAAAAAGGTCACGCCACTGCGGGATCAACTGCAGAAGCAGCAAACCGCTGCCGCTGTCACCGCCGCCACATCCTCGGTGGGCAACGAGAAGCCAGCACCTTCGGGTAAGGCGCCGCTGCCGCCGTCGTCGCTGCCAGCGCCGCCACAGCTCTTCAAGCCACACGAGGATGCGCCGCCGTCGGTCAACGTCTCGCAGGCTTCCGTCATAACGCGCATGCCCATGCCCTCGCTGCTGCCGCCGGCGCACGCACGTGGACCACCACAGCCGCCGCCCGGCGCTGGCATGTATCCGAGCAGCGCGGAACTGGCCCGTTTCTATGGCCAGCCGCTGCCGCCGAGCTCCGCGTTGCGGCCCACCTATGGCGCTCCGCCGCCATTGCGTGGTGCACCGCCGCCCACGTCAACTGGGGCAGCACCGCCTGGCAGTGGGCCCAATGCGCGTCCACCGCCCTATCTGCACGGCCCGGAGCATCATGGCGGTCCACCGCCGCCTGGCTCCTTGGCCAGCGTCTATGGCGCCGGTCCGCCACCGGCGCGGCATGCTTCACCGCATCTAAATCCCTACAGGTAGGTTGAAGACTGTCAGCTGAGTTTTGATTTCCGTTCTAATATATATTTTGCTTATAGAGCACCGCCCATTTATGGCAATCCCAACTATCCGCCGCGCGTGGCACCGCCCGGCAGCGCCAATATGCGACCCGGCCCTGTGGACTATGCAGCCGGTGCGCGTAAGTAGCACAACAAAAAAAAGTCAATTACCAGCTTAATTCTAAACCAATCTTAAATCTTATTTAGGTGGCTATCCAGCCTATGGCTACTATCCACCACCATTGGGCACTCCGCCCGCGCATGCAGCTGCGCCCAGTTCGGTGATTGTCAGTGCGCCGCCACCGCCGCCGCCTGCCACGCCCACAAATCATTCAGTATCCGCACTGACGCGCGGCAAATCGCCAGCACCAACAACAGCGCCAGCTGTTGCGCCTCCACCTACCACAACAGCACCACCGCCGACACCGCCAGCCGCCGTCACGCCGGAGCTGCACAAATCATCATCGGTGATAACCAGCAAGAAACTGATCACACTGGAGGCCTACTCCAATACCAAATCGCCGCTAGCTGAAACAACAACAACAACAGCAGATTCGCCAGCAGCCGTGGCCGAGGATGATTCCAGCTCGGCGCACGGCAGCAGCAGCACCGCCGTCGCAGCGAACAGTGTGGGCGGTGGTGTCGGCGAGTTTAGCGGCCTGGTGAGCTACTTCAGCTCCCAGCAGGATGATTATGATACATAACAAACGCCGGCAACCGAAGCCCAAGCTTGTATATAATGTAGTTGATCTATATAGAAATGTATAATGTGTAGAGTATGCGAATGTCCTATGCTAAAGGGGGGCATGTGGCTAGCCCCCGTTTTAGGCGACTTATTGAAAATTTCAATCCTCACACACAAGCACATACACACAAATACACACACACACACACACGCAATCAAAAAGTGCATATATATATAAAAGTAGCGTAGAGTCTTTTACAACGACAAAAAAAAACAATGGGAAATTTGTCAACTCGTTGGTTTTTTTTTAAATTAAATTAAATATATATTTATTTTAAGTTTAGGCACCTATTTACTTGACCCTATGCTCTATGTGCTCCTAGAGTCGCTTCAACAACAGCAACAACAACAACTTAAGTATTTTAGTTTAATTGTATAGTACGATATATGCCAGTTCGATTTGTTAATGTTTAGCTGCGCCTATGCTCGACCATTATATCGAGCGATATCAATTATAGAAGCATTGCAAAACAATTATGATAATAATTTATATACATATAAATACCTACTACACCATTACCCTATATGATATATACGTATATATAGTAAACTAAATTAAACTAAACTACAAAATAACTAACAGTGCATATTATACAAAGTTAATTTACTTAACAACTATGGATAAAATGACGTATACTACAAATGAAATTAAAGAGAAGCAAATCATCAAATAAATCTAATATTAGTTGAATAAAAATATAAAAACATATTTGCAAGCTTTCTGTACCCTTCTAGAGGGTATTTTAATGTTGTCATATGATATGTAATGCATAGAGGGAGACACTTCCTAAATTGTATATATATATTTATTTATATTCTTGATCAATATCAACAACCGTATTGATAAAGTCTTGTCCGTCTGCCCGTTGTAATATTCGTTCGAAAATTAAGTTCTTGTATGAAAATATCTTTTGTTTTTCCTGTTTTGTTAACCAAACTTCTCAGTAAATTATTTCTCTATGCTGCTTAAATACCTGCAGAATCTTAGCAACATCAGCTCACTATATCATATAGGAATAATCCATTGAAAATTTAGTTTTTGTATAACAAATTTATTTGTTTTTCTATATATTCTGAAACAAACTTGAGATTTGTTATGCTCTTCACATATGAGCAGAATCTGCCGGAAAAAAACTTTCAAACATTAATTTGTATTAAAAACTTTTCTGGTCTTTAAGAAATTCTGCACTTGAAAGCTTCACTATTTGTACTATTATCAAATCGGTCGACTATATCAGATGGATCCTTTAGAAGCAATTGGTCAAAGTCGAATATCTCTTTTACAAAGCTCGTCTAGAAGGGTTTTTAAACTTCGGAGTACCGAAAAAATGTTATTAAACAATTTTAAAAAAGTATTTAAAATCTATGAAAATCTTGTTATCTGCCTGATTTCTTGTTTATTATACTTCAATCAAACAATTTTTTTAAACTTAATAATTCAATTTATTAAATTAATAATCTTGCTTAAAAAGACGTAAACTGCAGAGTTCTACAGTTGATAAACTTAGAAACATTTCATAGTTCGACTTTAACATGTTTTGTTTTATAAGGCTTTGTTTTATTTCTGGCTTGCGTTTGTTAACATTGACAAATCTACTCTAATTTATTTAATGCATATGCATTTGTTGATACTAACAAAAAGCAATCTAATCAGCGCGTGTTACGAACAAAGTAACTGTGCACAACATTTAGACAATGGAATCGGGTGTAAAACCTTTGCCAGACATCAGCTTTCAAATTTTATTAAATGTATGCATGCAGGTTAGCTCTAGTTTTCGGATCTTTTGTTTGCAACTCGCACCCATAAGTTGTTTAACTTAAATGCAATAATTTAAAATCAGAGAAACTTAAAACTATAATTTGATTACTAGTTTTTTATTGAATTTATTTGGGCGGGGTTTTAAGTATTTTATGATTTGAAGATTGATTTTTAGCTATTGTGTAAAGGATTGGTTAGTAAAAAGCGTAGCCTTGCAGAGGATCTCAAGAAATTTAATATTTTTTGTGCTCTCGCAATGTTTCTCACAGCTAAGAATTTGGGTTTTTGTATAAAAACTTATGATTATCATGATATATTAAGGAAACTTGGCTTTTTTAGTCTTATAATGCTGCTTACATATGATCAAAATATGATTAATATCGGATTGTTTATATCAATAAATAATATATATCAGTATAAGCCGGTTGCTTTAAAATTAAGTTTCTGCATGAACAAGTTTTTTGTTGCTCAAGATATCTAGATATAACATATATGCAATATCGTATGAAATCGGTTTACTATATCATATGGCTCATATAGAAACAATCGATCAGAAAAAGAGATTTCGGTTCAATGTTTATTTAATCTTCTTTTATACTCTTGTAGAGGGTATAATAGTTTTGTCATGTAGTGTGTAAAATGTGTACAAGAGACAGCATTAACAACCGAGTTAATATAGCCATGTCCGTCTGTCCATCCATCTGCTTCTGTCTCTCAATTGGCTTAGGTCCTTCTTTCTGTTGCAGGCAGTATATATGTCGGAACCGGCCGGATCGAATCACTATATCATAAAGCTGCCATAGGAATGATCAGTGGAAAACTAGGTTCAAACTCAGCATTTAGGTGCTTCACTGTTTTGACATATCTGCAGGTAAAAATCTACAAGGGTATTAAATCTTGAGGGTGAAGAAGATATGCTCGTTTTTTTCTGGTTTTCAAATCAAAGTATGAAAAATTTTAAAAATATTTTCAGTTTCTACCTTCTTTGAACTGATTTTGATTAAATAGTAATTTTTATATAATTTGCAGTATTAAATATATTTTATTTCCAAATCTAATAATTAATTTGACAAACTAATTATTTGAATATTTTTGAAATAATAATAAGCATTAATTTGTAAATGCTTTGATAATAAGCAAATGCCTCCGAATTATAATTAACGTGGGAATAACATGACGAAAAACTGACCAAAGGGTAATTGGGATTTAATGAGACATGTGGAAGACTTTAATTGAGGGACGTGCGAATGTCTCGCCAAAGTTTTGCTTTTAATATCTTTTCCCGCTCGTTTTGACAGACATTAATTCTGTGAAACGTTTCGAACAAGTCTCGTTTTTTGTTTTTATTATTTTACTTTTGATTGTCCTCATTTGAGCGAAAGATTTGCATAACATGGTGGGGATTTTGTGGACACTCGATTTTTACGATCGTGGAAATCACGCAACGACCGAAGCGAATCGGGAATTGGGAAAAGAGAGAGGGGTATTTGGTTATTTAATTTTATATATTATTTAATTTTATTTATTAGCTTAAAATCTCAACAGAAACTTTGCATAATAATAACAACAAATGATCAACAACAAGGAGACGGAGGCCACTTGTTAATTTAACAAACGGCGCTCCTTAGATGAGGCGATGCTGGATGGTGGATGCACTTAGAAACGGAAGCGTTTGGCTGGCACATTGTATTCGTAGCCACTGGACTCGCCGGATGGGCCGGAGTAGACTGGACCTGGTGCTGGGGCGGAGTAGACCGGTCCGGGTGCTGGGGCTGAATAGCTGGGAGCGGGTGCGGAGTAAACGGGCGCGGGTGCGGGAGCGGGAATGTCGTGCACAGGGGGCAGGTACTCAGGTGCGGGATAAGAGGGAGCTGGAGCGCTGTATTCGGGAGCGGGAGCCGAGTAGACAGGAGCTGGAGCGGGAGCCGAGTAGACAGGAGCAGGAGCGGGAGCCGAGTAGACTGGACCGGGAATGTTCTGCACAGGTGGCAGATACTCGGGAGCAGGCTGAACTGGAGCTGGAGCGCTGTATTCGGGTTCCGGAGCCGAGAAGACTGGAGCTGGAGCAGGAGCAGAGTAAGCTGGAGCAGGGGGCAGATACTCGGGGGCAGGCTGAACTGGAGCTGGAGCACTGTATTCGGGAGCAGGAGCCGAGAAGACTGGAGCTGGTGCCGAGTAGACTGGAGCGGGCGCGGGAGCGGGAAAATCTTGCACAGGTGGCAGATACTCAGGTGCTGGTGCGGGCGCCGAGTAGGAAGGGCCCAGAGCTGGCGCCGAGTACGATGGACCCGGGGCTGGCGCCGAGTACGATGGACCCGGAGCTGGCGCCGAGTACGATGGACCCGGAGCTGGCGCCGAGTAGGAAGCGCCCGCTGACGAACGGATGTCAATGTCAAACGACTGACTTGGCCTATCGTACGAGTAGCCATTGCCATTGCCATTGCCGCCCAGATTCAGGTGCGAGACATCGGCCGCCACCGCGGCAATGGCGCACACAGCCAAAACGAAGAATTTCTGCAAAGCACGAAAAAAAAACGACAATTAAAAAAACGATTAAAATTCTGCGGACTTTGCTGATACGCGTGCGATTAGTGTGTGTGTGGCTAGTTAATTGGCGGGCCAATGTTAAAGGCAAACTAGATTTAAGGTCAGCTCCAAGCAGCAGTTCGGCATCTTGATGGATGTGCGTGTGTGTGGAAATTGTGCACTATTTGTTGTTGTGCTCACCATTGTTGTTGTTGTTGTTGCTGTTGCTACGCTTGTAAAGCTTGTTGGATTTTAGCTTTTGACGCTCTTGACCAAAAGACCAGACGCTGAATGATGGCCAGCAGCAGATGCGCCCGCGTTTATATACCCCAAAACTTACCACACAGACGCCGCGAAGAGATACACTCGAAGAAAAGGGTTTAATATGATTAAATGTTGGCTTCGTCTGTTGCCCAAGTGAGCGCGCGCAGATCGAAATCTCTCGCTCTCGCCCCCCTCTCTCTTTCTCCCTCTCTCTCTCGTCACAGCATCAGCTGCTGGGCTCGCCCAATGCGTGGCCAGCTTTAGGTTTTGCAATGTCCATAGGGCGCTGCGCCAGTGTTGCCAACTGCCGAATAGCTGAATGCCATGTTATAAAAATAAAAAAATAAACAAAATAAACAAATTAGTCTTCTGTGCAGAAGTTGGCAATAAACAAAGCAGCTAGCACTTGTTAATGCTATGCCAAAAAAAAAAAATAGCTAAATCCGTTAATAAGGCAAAACGGTTGGCTTAAAAAAAGCCAAATTAAGCTAGAAAGCAGCTGAAAGGGCCACAGCTACAGCGGAAAACACGCCAACGCATTTGCATGTTATTAATCAAACGGCAAACTGACGCCCTCTTGACCAGGCTCAAATAGCAGTAAGGGCAAATGTCAGAGTTTATTAGCCCATTTCATGCATTTATGCATTAAGTATGACTAAATGTTTATTGGACACTAATTTGTTTGATACGAGACCCCGGCGCTAATGGATGCGCAGCTGCATGCCTGGCTTGTTCAGCTCAAGGATAAACTATGCCAGGCAGATTCGACTCCGGCTACCGCGTTGCCATACACGCTTGTAGACATCATTGTTGCCAGGGCTTTATGTGCTTTAATTGTTATTTTAGTTATTTACAAGCTAAATTCGTGTGCCTTTGCGAATATTCCGCGGCGGCCACTTTTACCCAATCGTTGCATTAGTTGGCGTTTTTATTTCTCTTTTCTTTTCTCTTTATTATTAATTTTTTGTTTTTTTTTTTTTTTTTGGGGCTCAACACCTTTTGCTTTACTTTGGCGTCTGGTTTTTAGAGGAACATGTGTATTGTATTGTTCGGGCGACCTTCGGTCGGCCGACAAAACCTGATTAATTTGCTTGTATTTATGGTAAAATGCATATTGGTTAATGCTTAATACATGCAATTCGGATGGCATGTTTCACTTGAAACAAAATCAAATCAAGCGTCGCACACACACATACACGCATTTGCATAGCCTACTTTAAAGCCCTAATATTTTGACCTGGCCAGCGGCTAAAAGCGGCCAGCGGCCACGCATGAGGGGCGTCTGTTTGAAAACCGTTTTAAACACGAAGCTCTTTAAAACGTCACTTTTGAAAAAAATCAAACAAATAATCAGCGAGATTCGCAAAAAAAACGCACGTCTCCGAATTGGCTGGCATTTTCGGCTATTTTTGACTCGTCCAATTAATCAATTATTGCCATAGGAAAAGCAACTGCGAAACCTACAATTTTTGAGGTAGTATACACGTTGTGCCAGCCAATATAACAGGTTTGCAAATAGTTCATATAGATAATCTATGCCAAGAATTATCATTTAAATATGACAAATTTAATTTCTTTATCAGTGAGCATAGTTTCATTTAACATATGCTTACACAACATATAGACATATACATCTTTATGACTCAAGAGCAGCGGCAACATAAAAGTCAATTAATGGATTTTACTACCATTAATTAGTAAATATTACTATCCAAACGAACTGGGTGCGTTTATAAGCTTAATAAATCTGGCTTGTTGCATATGTGAGCTTTTTAACTTTCAAAAAAAATAAGCTGCGCGCTTTACACAGTCGCCTTTGCGGCGCTTTGCAGCTCTGAAAAATTATTTGAGACAACGCACTGTTATGAAAGCTGTTGAATAGTGTTGGAAAATTGTTAATTGTGCGCTTTGCTACACTTAAAAATGATTTAATACATTTCATTTGTGGTCACACTGATCTAAAGTGCGTGAGTGTGAAATAACACTGTTAAGAAAACCGTTGAACAGTGTTTGAAAATGTAAATTAAAATCGTTTAAATTTTAAATTTGAGTAGTAAAATCAAGAAAGCGTTAACACTTTTATTATAATCCCAGTAATATAAGCGTTTAAATAGAAACAGTAAAGAAATAGCTCCCACATTGGATTAAACTTTTATAAATATTTAAAATACCTTAACTTTCATATCTTCGATATGCACATTTTAAAGAACAAACTCTTGATCAAAATATATATGCAAAACTCAAGGGTTACCTTCAGAGTGCCTAACATAAAATACTTATCAAGATTTGCAACGAAATTTTTTTCGGTTTAGAAAATTTCTTTTATTCCTAGAAGAATTTCATGATATAGTAGTTCTATGTTCATAAGATTTGACTCAGATTTTAGTTTTGATGTTTTGTTTTTCATCAAAAATACCCGTCTACAAGTAAACATTTAAATATGGATTTTTCAAATATTTTGCCTGAAAACAGTTCCAAGGAAATGGTTAAAGAATGAAACAGAGCATCTCGAAGTGCAGGTCATATAATAAAATAAGTGTTGTTAAAATTAATGTATAGCTATTATTCTTAAAAGAAATTCATGCATTCCTAGAGATATAAATGTCGGGTGTCCAACGTTAAAATAAAATTGTATCAATATCTCATGCTGAAATTTCCGTAATTCATTACCTTCTTGAGTCTTCTAATGCAGAACTGCTTGGTTTATATAAAATCAGAAAAAAATGCTATTGATATGTACACAGCAAATTTGTATGTTCATAGTAATGCGACTATCCGGGCGAAGTCTGTTCTCTAAGTCCAAGTACAATGTGGCAAGTGGAATAGCTGGGCGAGCAATCAAAGGACGGCTGCAATTCCTAATCTTCATAGTCATCCAGCTCTTCAGGTGAAAACAAGCCAGTCGTGTCCAGAAAATGTGCCAAATACTTGGCTATCATGCTGCCAACATATATGCCAGGCAAGATGGTTAATCCAACGGCTAATATATGGTACTTTTCGCGTTTTGGGTTCTTGAGTAATCTAGGCGACTTATAACTTTTCCGTGTTCTGGACATTTCCCGTTTAATTTGTATGGCATTTAGAAAAGCCAAACAGTCGCATTTTCTGAATTTTAAAATTTTGCCTGTATTTATGTTTTTTTTACCGGGCCTTTTTACAATTCTAATTTAAACACAAATGTCAAAACTTTCTCTGTACATATATGTTGTTCAAGACACACGCACTTCGGCCAAGAACTCATTGCGCATGCGTGTGCCTCGAACCTGCTTTATATGGCACTTCCGTTCTGTTCTGCAATATTTGCCGACGGTTCGCCTCAACGGGCTAATTGTCAAAGTGTCGCTTGTCTTTGTCTATGGCGGAGCTCTCTCCATTCCAAGGCTACGGCCTAATGCATTTTGTCTGTAACGAAAATATTCATTTGACCTGTGTTTGCCACAGTCTGCGTGTGCGGCTATTTAGCGATGCGTAAAAGGGTTTGTCACTTGCCCTACTGCGTTACTCAAACATAGCTCCTATATAATGTATCTAAATTACCATTAATTGAAGTCTAGCTAACATTATATATCATAGAAATAGCTATTTGAAATGTAATTTGCTGCGGAAATCTACTCCGATGTTTGCAAATGGGGGCTCAGAGTTGCACGGAAAGACTAAAGTTTTTCCACGTGATGTTTTAATTTTAAAGTTAATAACTTGGTCCGGGCAAGGCCGGGTAATGCTAACTGTTTATATAGGGTTTCTAATACTAAATGCAGACCAAGCTTAGTTCTCTTAACAGCCCCAGCTGCTCGGATATTTCAAATAAGGGCTTTTTTACTACTATGCGATTCTCATGAATTCAAGTCGGACTTGCAGGTTTTTACACTTAGCTTATATTACCTAGTTGTTTTGGCTAGCTAATAAATTTAATTTGCACATATTTGAAAAACGGCACAAATATGATTGAACAAGTTTCTAAATTGGGCTTAAGTTGTTTAAACTTTGTAAATTAGTCAGCTCTAAATGATATTTTGTTGAAAAATATCCCAAACTAGACCAGTTGGTTTAGTCTTGAGGGTATTTCTCGTAAGAGATTTCAAATAAGGGAAACCAAACGATACGAACAGAGTCGAGTGAATAGGACATCAATCAAATTTTTGGTATATCTGCTCTAATTTCAATTACCTCATAATATAAATTTCGTTAATTTCTTTCCGGTTGCATCATTATCTTGTCTCGTTAATGATTCACATTCATTAACGAATAACCCATAACAAGATCCCATATAACAAGAGCATTGAATCCTTTATAATTAAAGTGGCGACCCTTATAAATCTCTTATATTTTGTTTAGCAAGCACTTTAGTGCGATTTCCTGTTGCAACCTCTTTCGGTTCTGTTTGCTTGCACCTTTATAGCACAGCCCGTTGGGCAAGTCTTTGGCTGTGTTCAATTGCCACAATAAAGGAGGCAACAAATACGCTGCATTAGTAGATAACGCTTCCGTTTGCCATTTCGCACGTACAGGATTCTCACACACAGTTTATGGCTCAGGCCCAAGTCCTGGCCCAGACAGCTAAATATTTGAAAACAGTTGCCCACCAAAAAGGAAAAAAAAAACCCAACATAAAAGGCACATGTGTACACACTGCAAGGTAATTAGTGAGATTTTCCAATGAACTAGCAGCTAATCTCGCTGCCTGAGCTAAGCTCACGCAGTGACCGGGCCATAAAAGTGCTGCCAACTGTCGCCGATTTTCATGGTAAAAATACTTAGCTAAGAATAATAATTAATAAGAATTAGCTTTTTGTCTCGGAAATACCAAAAACAGCTTGATATGTCAACTGACTGATGTCGACTGACGAACTTTGAAAACAGCTATGTCTAGCTAGAAAAGAGCT